CCCCCCGCCACACCTAGAGAAAGTCCCGTGCGCAGCAACAAAGACCCAACGCAGCCAAGAAAAAATTAATTAATTAAAGAAAGAAAACATCAACATAAGAGGAATTGTAACAATCTTACCTGGGCTCCGCTTGTTCAGTGTCTGATAGAGGCAGGCGGGCAGGTGGCCACAAGCCGACGTCGCCAAGTGTCAAGGGGAGACCCTGGGTTTTCTGCAGGAAGCGTGGACTGTGGTCCCTGCAAGTCCTGCTCTGGTGGAGAGCCCGGTTCCAGGAGGCCGGTGGGGAGCTGGTTTCCAACAGCGAGGCGCGGGGCTTAGCTGCAAGGCAAGGCGGTCGTATCGAGGACAGAGGGATGCAGAGCAGGTGGGGACAACCCCCCGCCTCCCTGGGGCTGCACAGGTGAGAACAGGGCAGACACTCGGATTTTCCTCTGTGAGTGGTACCCTGGTCTGGCCCAGACACAACCCTGTGAGTCACAGCCAAACAGTGAGTCTGTATGACCACAGGAGGGCAGTTCTGAGCAGTTGGCAAGGACCTCAAACTTCCCTTAGGGTCACTTGTTAAGGCAGCCATCTCGGAAAGGAGCACCCCACCGCAGAGGTGCTCTAAGGCCCCTCGGGATCCCTGGGGCATTTCCAGGATGAGATCAGCAGGTTCTCCACGGGAGTGCATGAGCGCCCCTCGAGAACATGAGTGTCCCTCTGGGGCTTAAGGAGGTCATCCTGGCCAGTGGCCACACCGTGGGTGGCCGGGCGAGGAAGGACAGCGTGGGTGCAGTGCTGGCCCAGGTATCTGCAAGTGTCATCTACGTCTGGGACCGGGAGAAGGAAGGGAAGGTACACGTGCTAAGCTTGGGAGGCCAGGGAACAGGTAAACAAGTAGAAGGCAGCCACGTGCACGGCAACACGTTGCCAGGCCAGGCCTGCGGAAGAGACGTGCGCCTTCTCCCGCCTGCGCACCACCTGTCTATCCTTCCGCACGCCCTAACCAAGCAGCAGACGCCCCTTGTGAGGCTGCAAGTACCTGCCCGGGTCCCAATCCCACAGCTTCGTAACTTCCCAGAGCCTGTTTTCTCTCCCGCGAAACTGAAGGCACATAAGACCCTGTGTGACGCGGGCCTCCCTCCTCACGCCTCTCCGCGGTTCCTCTCAGACTCCCCACCACCTCCACCTTGTCTCCAGGCCCACAACTGGCAATGAGCACCAGGCTGCACGTCGCACCTGGGCCTCTGAAGGCAGGCCTCCTGCACAGCCATGGAAGCGCCTGGCGGCTCTCCGGGGCCTGGCAGTGTGTCCCCACCCCCACCCCACCCCCACAGAGACTGACCCCTGAACTCATGAAACGTCCACATCAAAAGGGACCAGAAAAGAAAAGAAAAAAAAAAAAGAATCGGTCTCTTTATTAGGGGCTTCCCTGGTGGCGCAGTGGCTGAGAGTCCGCCTGCCGATGCGGGGGACGCGGGTTCATGCCCCGGTCTGGGAAGATCCCACGTGCCGCGGGGCGGCCCGGGCCGGGAGGATCCCACATGCCGCAGAGTGGCTGGACCCGTGAGCTGTGGCTGCTGGGCCTGTGTGTCCGGGGCGAGAGAGGCCGCAGCAGTGAGAGGCCCCCCTACCGCCCAAAAAAAAAAAAAAAAAAGGGACCAGACACCCAAGCATGGCTGGCTCTTGGTGGCACCGAGGACTCCAAAGGATACTGAAGGAGGTGAGGCTGCCCGGGGCATAGCCCAGGCTGCAGCGGCGGGCACATGCGCCGCCCTCTGTGATTACACCTCCCACACCGCCTATCTGAACCCCTGGTAATTCCGGAACGCCAAGCGGTGTCCTTTCTCCCACAAATGAGCTTTCTGGAGGCCTGGGGCCAACTCCTAAAGCACGGTCTCCTCCGCCAGGCCGGCCGACCCCCGGCCACCACTCTGGCCAGTCAGCCGGTTCAGGGCTGCTGCTCATCAGACCTACCGCTGCGGGTTTGCGCAGGAGGCGGGGCGGGTGTAACAGGCTACAGCAGGGTTCTCCAAGGCTGGGCTCGGCGCACGCTCCCACCCCAGGGTGGACTGAGCCCAACTCGGCTTCCGCCCAGCCCTGACCTCCGCCCTTCAGTCCACGTCGAGTGGGCGCGCCAGGCCCCGGGGGCGGCGTGACTCGCAGCGCGCGCCAGGGAAGTCCCGTGGGTTGGACACGCAGCCACGCGCTCCCTCCCCCACGGCCCGCGCACCTGTCCTGGGCGTGGCCCGAGGCCCCGCCCCGAGGCCCCGCCTCGCCCCGGCCGCGCGGCGCGCTGGTTGGCCGAGGCGGCGCGCTGTGTTAAGGACCTGACCCTCCCGGCACCTGTGGGCCGCGCTGCCCGCGGGCGCCGGCGTAGGCACAGTGCGACCCGCGCGAGGGCACCATGCCGCGCTCCTTCCTGGTGAAGACGCACTCCGGCCACAGGGTTCCCAACTACGGGCAGCTGGAGAGGCAGAGAGGTAGGGGCTGTGGGCTCCCCTGCTCTGCCCAGGGCTCGACTCCCGCGGGGCAGGAGGGGCGAGAACCCTGGGAACTGGAACACCTGTCCCAGGTGGGAGGAGGGGCCCGAGACCACGAGGCTGGAGGTAGAAAGGTGGCCCGCGGGCGTCTTATCCACTCCAGGGACCCCAGCCTCGCGTCGGGCAGATTGGGTGGGGATTTTCTCTCCACTTAGAGAAGTTTCCAGGCCCCCAGTCACTCTGGGGGTCTCCCGCTATGGCCCGGCATGCCCATCCCAGCAAAGGGGACCCCAGGGCCATCTTCCTCGTGCAGGACGTTTGAGAGAGCCCCACGGATATTGCAGAGAGAGACGAAGTGAGCCCCGGCTGTTCTCCAAGAGCCCCCCAGAACATCCTGGGTTGGGTGGTGAGCAGAGAGGCCAGGCAGAGTGACCCAGGGGCCCTGTGGTGCCAGGGCCCAGCTCGCACAGCGTTGCGCTGTGCCCCCCCCAATGCCTCCTCACCCCTCCTGGGGTTTCCTTCCCTTCCGCCTCCCTCACCCCGGAGGAGGTTGCCCAGGGCAGGCTGGGCTAAGGGGCTGCAGTTCTTACCCAGGTGGGGAGACAGATGCCCAGGAACCAGGACTGTGCACTCATTCCCACTCCCTGTCAGGGTCAGGGACACGCAGAGGTCCCGTGGCAAAGGCCTCTCTCGAGTGGTCAGAGGCACCCCCAGCTCCACAGCTTCTTGGGGGGGACACCCTCTGGGGGATGGCTCAGTGACTTAGAGGGGGACAGGGGAGAGACGCTGCGGAGACCAGGGCACACAGTCGGTGCCCGTCCAGAGCCCTTTAGCCCTCTCAGGACTGGGAGCGGGGAGGGAGTCCAGGCTGGTGGGCCCCCGGGGCTGGGCTGCCACCAGGGGGCACCTTCTAGGACCGGGATCCTCAACTCCACATTTTGAAATCCAGTTAATGAGTCACCACCAGCAATTTTATAAAATAAAAAAGAACAGAAGCCATCAGAGTGCAGTGCTTGCAGTAAAGGAAACTTTTGTTTCAGATACACATGTATCATAGAACATGTAATTCACACGGGTCGTGGCTTTAAACGTTTAAAAACTATTGTTTAGACTCCAGTCACACAGCGCACCCCTTTGAGCGTGCAAATCCTGGCAGCCGAGCAAGGTCCGGTGACTGTCAGGGAACAGCCCCAGGGCCCTCAGTGCTCTGCTCCCCCCTCCTTGTAGCGCCAGCTTCCTGAGGGCCAAATGGCCACGGTGATCCTCTTTCTGCCAGGCAGTTACCCCAAGATAGACCCGAGATGCTGGATTTGGGTCCCCCACTCGTCACTTTTAAATAAGTGCCTTTTTCGGCCTCCCCAGGGAACCCCGGAAGCCAGAAAGGAACTAAAGTCTCTTCTCCCAGGAATCTGAGCTGCAGAATTAAAAAAAAAAAAATCTAGCTAACCCAGGGGATATGGGGAAGCATTTAAAGTTATTAGCAGAAGCACACGGTCAGTAGCACCTGGCATATGGCTGCCTCTCCCCTGCCCTCCCACTGGAGTCGGCACTGGCCCCCTAGACAGGGTTAGGCTCTGAGGTGACGCCTGGGGTCAGGGTAGTGGCTGAGCCTCAAAGCCTTAAGGTGACTTTTTTCCCATACAAGGGCCCCTACTGGAGCTTCTGTGTGGAGTGGGGGGTCCTAGCCTCTCCGGGCACCCCAGTGCTGTCTCCAGAAATTCCTTGGACTTCATCTCTTAGGTGGTCCAGCCTCCATTTCTGGGAGGACAGAAACCTGGCAAGCTGATTTTATAATTGGGAAGACTGGAGTGAAAAACAGTGAGGTCAGGAGAGAGTGGAGTGTGGGAGCTTCCCCATCCCTCTGCATCCTCATCAACACTTGTAATTTGCCTGTTTTTAATTCTAGCCATCCTAGTGGGTATGATGTGGTGCCTCATTATGGCTTTAATCTGCATCTCCCTGATGGCTCACGACGTGGAGCATCTTTTCCTGTGCTTATGGGCTGTGTGTACATCTTCTTTGGAGAAATGTCTGTTCAGAGTCTTGGCCCATTTAAAAAGTGGACTGTTTGTCTTCTTATTGTTGAGTTGCAAGGGTTCTTTATATATTCTGGACCCCAATTCCTTATCAGATCCCTAATTTGCAAACATTTCCCCCATTCTGTGGGTTGTCTTTCTCAACCCAGAGCCTTGGCGTGGACATAGAAATGGGGCCAGAGATTTCTCTCAACACATATGAAATAAGAAATGGGTTGAGGGCTGGAGATTTGGTCTTTGGGGAAATGCAGGACTTCACTCTTACTTGCTGACATGTTTACTTTGGGGGCTTCTGCTGTCTGGGTCAAGCATGAGGCGTGGTGGCCCACACATATGGGAGCAACAGCCTGAGGGCGGGCCGAGCCAGGAGGCAGTGGACACCACCGAAAACAGTCCCTCCTGAGCTCGGAGCGTCTGCAGGAGGCTGTGCGCACGCACGCCACGGTGGGCGAGGGGTGATCGGGAAGTGACCGGAGGCTGATGAGTTATTTTACACGCGGCGGCTTGCTGCCAAGAGTTGTGAATTAAAGCTGCGTGGGAGTCCGCAGGATGCAGCTCCGAGCTGGCCCTGTGGCAGGTGGGGCTCAGAGAGAGGGCGGCTAGGGACCCTTCCTTGGCCCCTGAGGGCTTCTCTGGGATCCTGTGAGTTGCTTCTCTTGCCTTGTTTGTAAAGAGGAACTGAGATTCCTGCTCGGACGCTGTGGTCTCCGGCTGCAGCTGCCACTTCGGCAGCCCACGCCTCTGTCTTGTCAGACTTTCTTCTCCTACCCGCGGGGCTATGGATGGCCCGGCGGTGGGATTCGGCCAGGAATGCGGGTTGGCGACTCGCAGCGCTGGGACTCAGGCTTCACCGTGCATTGTCTCCCCTCCCCGCTTCTAGAAACCAGTGGCGCCTGTTCTGCCTGCGGGGGGCTGGTGGTGCCCCTCGTCCTCCCAGACAAGGCGGCCCCGTCCACGCCTGGCGACCCTCCCCGGCCCTGGGACTTCACCTCTGTCGTCGCCCACGTCTCCCTGCCCCTCCCCACCTTCCTGTGTAACGAGGAAGCTCGGGGGGCCTCGGGGCCAGACCCCCTGGAAGTCAGCCTGGCGGATCCTCGGGCCGGCCGGGCCCCCGGCGCACCTCTCAGAGACAGCCTGAAGCACCTCAGCCTGCCCCCGCTGCTGGCTCTGCCCACGCGCTGGCCCCCGGTCCTGGGCGCAGATGGGGCCCGGGCTCCGGGCCACCTGCCAGGGGCCGAGCGGGGCCCCCACACCCTAGGGGGCTTCCGCACGCCGGCCGCGCTGGCCAGGCACCAGCAGCTGCATTGCCACCTGCAGGCTCAACGTTGCTTCACCTGCAAGTTCTGCGACAAGGAGTATGGCAGCCTGGGCGCCCTCAAGATGCACATCCGCACACACACGCTGCCCTGCCTCTGCACCATGTGCGGCAAGGCCTTCTCCAGGCCCTGGCTGCTGCAGGGCCACATCCGGACCCACACAGGTAGGCGCCAGGGCCCACGAGGGATCTGGCTGGGGGGCAGGGGGGGGGTCTGGGCCTCAAAGGAGGGGAGGGGTTGGGTTCATGAACGAGAGGATGGAAGGGCACACACGGCTTCTTTTTCCTGGTGTCCCGAGGCTGTGGCACAAAGAGCCACACGCCGGGGGGCTCAAAACCTCAGAAATGCTCTCTCACGGTCTAGAGCCAGAAGTCTGAAATCAGGGTGTCACGGGGCCAGGCTCCCTCCAGATCTGGAGAGGGGGATCCTTCCCACCTCTGCCAGCTCCTGGGGCCCCGGGTGTTCCTTGTGGCCGTGTCATTCCAGTCTCTGCCTCTGTCCTCACACGGCCTGTCCCCTGTGTCTGTGTCCCGATTCCCCGCTAATTATAAGGACACCAGTCACACTGGGTTCAGGGCCCGCGGCTCCACTACATCTTAAACTGAACTCGATCACATCTGCAAGGACTCTCTTTCCAAATCAGGTCATACTCACAGGTACCCAGGTTAAGGACACGGATGTATCTTTTGGGGGGGGGGGGACACGATTCAACTCGTAACACCTGGCAAAGCACGGGATGCACAGGGCTTCCGCGGGGCCTGACTTCTCAAACAGTCCGTGGCCTTCCTGAATTCTGGAGCAGCGGGGGAGGAGGGTAGCCAGAAAGGCCTGGCTTGGGGGTGAGGACCCCAGGGCTCACACAGCCTGTCTGATGGGCTGCGGTTTACCCAGGAGCAATCCCGTCCCTGGGTGAGAGGGTGGTCACAGAGCACAGGCGATGCAGGAGAGAGGAGCAGCTGCGGACAGGAGACAGGGACAGGAGGGGGGATACGGGGCAGAGAGCTCGCGGTCTTTCATTCTGTAGATTACCAACTATGGCCCAGAAAGAGTGCAAGGGCCGGCTCTGCCCAAGGGCAGCCAGGGGCTGAGCTGGACCCCACCCCAGGCCTTCCTCTTAAGTCCAGGACTTTGTCAAGCACGTGGTGAAAGGGAGACAGGAACAGGCCAGGCACTTACAACACTCTCTGGAACTGGACCCTCCCTCACCCTCAGTCACGGCTCTGTGACTCACACGACAGAAGGGTTTTGCAGGAGCCTTTTTCCAGGCTGGAAATCCACCTGGTTTTCCCCGACCGCTCGCTGAGGATGTCCCCTGAGCGCCCCATCACAGCGCAGGGTCAGGCGGCCAGGACGCGATGCTCTGGGCCCCGCGGGACTACAGGCCGCTGCCTCCCAGGGCCCCTAGGGCTGCAGGACTCTCCACACAGGCAGAGCTGAACAGATGACTCTCACGGACCCTTTCTTTTACACTTGGGGGGTCAGCCTGGAGGGCAAGGCCCCAACGGAAGGACTTTGTCCAAATCCTTGGTCGCCCGGATTGGAGGTGGCCTGGAGGACACGGGAATCCACTGATCCTGAGCGCCTGCCCTTGTACAGCCGCCTTCAAGTTTCCCACCATGGCTTTCGGGGGGGCGGGTACAGCTGCCAGAAGGACTGCAGCGCCTCTCCCGTCCAGGGCTGGTGACAGAGCGCCCCAGGGGAGCTCCAGCAGAAGCAAAGAGCCATCTAGCCAAGATCTGTGTTTTAGCTGCTGCGGTCTTGCCCAGGTTATCAAGCACATGACCCCCTCAGCGGAGGGCAGGTGCTAAGGCCCCTGTCACTGACCCCGAGGGAGCGGGCGATGCAGGTGAAGGCGTCAGCCTCACTGCGAGGGCTGAGGAGCCTCTGGGTGGGGGACGGCCTATGCACTTGCGAGCCTGGGGCCGGCCGCCCTCTGCAGGGCTGTTCTGGCCGCTGCAGCTGGTCGCTCACCTGTCGCCCTCCCCTCCCCCAGGTGAGAAGCCCTACACCTGCCCTCACTGCAGCAGGGCCTTCGCCGACCGCTCCAACCTGCGGGCCCACCTGCAGACGCACTCGGACACCAAGAAATACCAGTGCGAGCGCTGTGCCAAGACCTTCTCCCGCGCGGCGCTCCTGGCGCGGCACGAGGAGTCGGGCTGCTGCGCCCCCTGAGAGGCGGAGGGGCCGCGGGGCTGGGCGTCCTGGGAGGGCGTCGCCCTTCCCTGCCCACGCGAGGGACTTCTCTCCGGGGATGACTCTCGTCCGGTTGAGAGCCTCGTCCATGCCGTTTCCAACGAGCTCTGGTTCCGGTTCTGTGCCTCCCAGTGACAGCCGGTCGGGAGCCGGTTGTCAGCACGGAAGATCCCCACGTGAGGCTGACGGCGGGGCTGCCCTGGATGCCCTCCACTCCGGACCGGCAGTTTGACTTGGGCCGAGCACATCCGTGTGGGCCACCTGTGTGGGCAGAGCTACCTGGAGGCTCCCCTCCACCTGCCTTTGGTGCACACACGCGACACGCACACACCCTCCCCTCCTCACTAGGCCGTCCTGAGGATGGAGCAGCGAGGGAGGCCCCGCAGCGGGTGGATCTGGGGCGATAAAGAGCCCGCACTCCTGCTGCAACGTCCTCTGAGGCTCTGAGGCTCACCCAGTCCCCTGGGTCCGCAGAGGAGGCCGAGCTCGGACAACCTCTGCTGAGGCAGCAGGGCTCCTGGATAACGGGACCCTGTGGCCAGAGCGGGGCGGGGGGAGCTGAGGCCCTATCCTCGAGCTGTGCGGTCCTTACCGGGTGAGAGCAGCAGGTGAGCAGGGCGCCTTCCCTTGGAAGGAAGGGAGCGGACATGGGGACAGTACAGCAAGGACCGGCGGTGAGGTGAGGGTGCGAGAGGGGGACCGAGGCCGCGTGTCTGTGGCAGGCGTTCATGCCCCCCCCCCGAAGTCTAATTTAGAGGGGAGTCTCTCCTGCACCTGCAGCATCTCTACTGAACACCACAGACGCGTCGTCACTGCAGCCACCTCCCCGAGGCACTAAGTCCCTCACCCAGCGTCCCGGCCTCCTTCCTGCACGCCCTCTCCTGAGGCTGCAGCACTTCCAGCCTAGCAAGCAGCCGATCTCTGACCCCACCCAAGACACACACCTTCCCAAGCCGACTCAGATGCTGAGACCCCGCTTCCTTCTCATAGGTGGCCTCCCCTCACCCCCAGGCCCCGGGCGGTCACACGCTGGGCTGGCCCTGCCTCTTGGCAGTTTGTCTGAGTCGTCTGCCCCAGACCCCGGAGGGTGGCATTTAGGAAGGAGGAAGGAGGTCTGAGTCTAACGGAGACTGGCCGAATCCTTGATGCAGGAGGGGACACCTGCTCCTCTCTGCAGGAGGGCTGGCCCCAGCCAAGGGACAGGGCTCAGCACCTTGGTCCTGCTCCCGGGATGGCGCCACACGGCAAGCGGCAGAGGCCCCGTCTCGGCCCTGAGCCACCAGACCTGCTGACCTCCTCCCCGTGTGACAGGATGCTGGGAGCGCTCATCAGGCCCACACGGCTACCAGCTCTGCAGCCCCAACCCTGGGTCCCCACCTGTAGATCCCTCCTAATGCCACAGTCGGGGGCTGAAGTTCCCTGGGTGGCTGGTTTGATAATGGCAATCAGAGGGGGCCTGGGGACATCCCAGAGGAAACCTAACCTTGACACTGGGCTTCCCTGGATCAAGGGCGACCCTCATGAAACTGACCACCCAGGAGAGCCGCTGCTCTAGCCTAAAGGAGACTGATCGATCTGCCCATAGAACAGAGAACCTCTCCAAGGAAGCCACGCTTGCACTCCCAGTCCCACTGCCACCCCCCGACAGGGATCAGCCTCCCCCAAGGGACACACGGCGGGACCAGGAGGCTTAGCTAACGTGTCAGTTTGCTGGGGTGGCCGTACAAACCCACAGAGCGGGGGCCTCAGACCACAGAGACAGACTCCCCCACAGCCCCGGAGGCCAGAAGTCCGAGACCGAGGTGCCGGCCATGCTGGTCCCTGCCGGGGCCGAGGGAGAATCTGCCCCAGGCCTCTCCCAGCTGCTGCATATGCTGGCGCCTCTGATGTTCTGTGGCTCGCGGAAGCGTCACCCCCTTCTCTGCTTCCATCCTCACGTGTGCGTGTCTGTGTCTGTGTCCAAATTTCCCCTTTTTATAAGGGCACCAGTCGTACTGGGTGAGGACCCACCCTGATGACCTCATCTTGACAGCGTCCGCAAAGACCCTGTTTCCAAATAAGGCCGCATTGTGAGGTACTCGGAGGTTAGGACTTCAGTATATGAATGGGGGGCACCATTCACCCTGTAACAGCTGATGAGGGCACACAGTTTGCCCAGAGAAACCTGGTGGGTCCCTGTGCTTGGACTTACGGAGAGAAGAGTGGAATGCTGTTGCCCCCAGGCCACAACGGATCAAGGGGGCGGTGAGCCCACGACCGACTTACTAGAAACGCGTCCTCCAAACGCACTGTGACCCACCCGGACGGCCCCTCTCGAGTGTGCAGGTGCCTGACCCCTCCTCCTCTCTGCTACCCTGGTCAGGGGCCCACAGCGGGTGGAACAGGCCTCTGCCCTCCAGGGACATCCCTCCACTGTCTCCCGAATGCCTGGGCCTCTGCTGAGCAGGGTGGGCAGCCTGGGGCTGGGGAGCCTCTCATCCCTGGCAAAGGCTAAGCTCCAAGCGCACTCGTGTTTGTGCCCATCTCACTGGATGGCTTTTTATTTTAATAGCATCCAGATGCCTGAAGGAGGCTATATTGTAAATTGTGTCCTATTTCTGAGCACCAATATCTAAATGAAGCAAGGCACCTGTTGGGGATGGAGGAAGGGAATTTCACAGCCTAAATAAAGTCCATGCTTGCCCTTCTGTGCCGGCCCATGGAAAATGCTCTTATATTTATATCTGGGCTGGCGGAGGGCAGGGGTGGCAGAGGGTGGGTTGGCAGGCGGGGTGAAGAGAGGCCCGGGCACCTGCCAGGGAGTCAACGTGGGGCGAGTGGGGGAGATGTTCCCCTCCGAGGAGGGCGGCTGCAGTCAGCATGCCTTGTCCCCGCCATGGGGCCACGTCCCCACCGGCCACTCGGGCCTCACAGTTTCCCACTCTCCGTTCCTCATTCCTCGTGATTTTGCCTGATCAGCTGCATTGACCCGGGAGGCTCACTTAAGGTTTGGGTTTTTGGAGCCCTCTCCCAACACCCACAGATGGGAATCAGGAAGGCATACAACCATCCCTCACACCGTCCCGGGTGAGGGCGCAGCCACCTCCTTCCTCGCAGGACTGCTACGTGGGTTCCCCCCAACTACAGGCTTTCCCTACCCAAATTTTACGCATTACATTTCCACTTTTCTCCCTAAAGAAGGCCTTCTGGTCACACAGCTTCAGGCACGCTGTTGGTGCCTCTCTCCAGGGAAGGAGCCAGGCTGGGGGACGGGAGCCCCAGGACCAGAGGAGCTGGAGGCGGGTGTTTCAGAGGCGGCCCAGCTCAGTCTGGGCAAAAGCGGGAGCCTGAGAAATCGCCAGGATTCTGGACGAGCCGAGGGCGGGGCGGCCTCAGCACCACGTGAAACTCGCTCCCAGGAGGCACGTGACGGGCGGCGGACAGAAAACCGCACGCGCTGCCTTCTGACTGGGACGCGAGCGCCTGGCCCCGTGGCTCAGGTCCCGGAACAGGTGTGAGAGGGACACCCAGCCTCTCGGGGGCCCAGCTCCCCGCCCCGCTCCCCGTAGAGAGACCTCTCTCCTGAAGCCCCAGGCACGCTAAGGTTATGGCTTCCCTTCCAGAAGCCCAGAGGCTTCTATAAATACCGTGTTGGGGGTTCTCTGGAAGTTCTAAAATAGTCCGCTGGTTACTATCTATACCCAGCGAGCCCACTCCTGGCCTCCTCTTGGTGGCTAAGTATAGCTCCCTGGCAAAGTTCAGTGGGACAAGTTTCCAGCCGCCATCACCTTGCGGACGGCGGAGGATTCCAGGGAGAGCGCCCCGGCTGCCAAGACTCAGAGGCGCAGGGAGAGGCTGGAGCTGATGTGGGGCGTGGCGGCACCCGCTCCCCAAGCCGGGGTCTGTGGGAGTCTCTGCTGCAAACACAGAGCCTCCCCCAGATCCAGCAGTGAGTCGTTCTGGCTCCAGCCTTTACAGTGGCTTGATTCCACCGTGAAGCCTTGGTTTCTGCTTCCGAGCAGAGGGAAGTGGGCTACCCTCTGTTCCAGAATTCAGGAGGGGCCCGGGAGACACAGCAGCAGAGGAAGACACGTAGCACACCAGACATAAAATATGATCGCTACCTCGAGGGAGACCCTCGACCTTTAACCCCTCCCAGACTCTACGTCCATTTCTTGACCGCCAAGTTCTGGCTCCAGGAAACCTCTCCTCCCAGCTGCCCACCCCCCAGCCCAAGCCGAGCTGCCCAAGAGATGGTCTGGCAGCTGCCCGGGGTGTCCTCAGGTGCCAGCAGGGCGCTGGGGAGCGCTGACGGACAGGAGGGCAGAAGGTGTGAGGGCGGGGCTCCCACCAGGGTCCATCCTGCTGGGTGAGCACGGGCCATCTTTGGGTATCATGTGGAATGGAGACCGTCCTCCCAGGCGCCAGTCAGCGCTCCGCACCACCCAGGGTTTCACAGCCAGCTCTGCCCAGGCCCCCCCCTCCCCACACCTCTGCCCCCCAGGGCTGCTTCTGTCCCCTATAAGGATCACCTGTAACTGGTCCTCAGGAAGAGGCGGAATCACCTCAGCCTCGCTCCCAGCTCAAACACCTGCCCCCTTTCCTTCCCCCGGGAACAGGCCTGGGGCCCAGGACACAGTGACACCTGTACTGCAGTAGGGAAGGCAGGTCATGGAGTCACAGGGGGCTCTCTGTGAATGCTGCAGTGTGACCTCTGACATGCAGCTGCTCTGAACCGGCCAGAAAGAGGCTGAGACTGAGGACAGTCGGGGTGACCCTGCTGGGCATCAGGGAGGCGTGGCCCGCCGTCCCAGTGGCTCCGCTCACCCCCGGGGTCGTCTCCCTCCTCCTCCAGCAGAGTAGTTCTCACAGATGGCCTGCAGACCCCTGTCCAGGGGGCCACGCTAAGGGAGACTCGTTACATTCCTCACAACATCGACGGTGCAAAAGCAGGGGGCTGCACCGCTGGCAGCTCTGCACAGACCGAGGCACCCAAGTTC